TGAAAACCCCGCAAAGGCCTCATCCAGGGGAGCAGCTTCCAAAGATGCCGCTTGTCACAGGCAGCGTCCGTCCTGCCAGCTTAATTTGTTGTCCCTGTACCATGCTGTCATTCATGCCTTGGAGAGAGCCAAGTATGGACTGAAACCTACAAACTCTGAGTCAAGATAAATCTCTCTCCTTTTATATTGTGTGTGGCAAGTATTGTGCCTCTGCAATGTGAAAGTGACTATACACCCAGGAACTCTCTTCTCAAATGAGATATTTACATATTTGTCCCATTGAGACTGTGGGGGATGGGAGGGATATTGCTGATTTCTGAGATGTCCTCAAGGTATCTTTCTTCTTATCTTTGTACAAAATATTGGAATTCTTTTAAACTAACCTTTTCAGCAACCATGCTGTCCTCTGCCCCAATTCTTCAGGCACTTTCTTGCTAGTGAAATTGCAAACTTTTGCATCTGCTTTTTGCTCCTGATTTTCACTGTAGATCTGGCTAAATGCATCCAGCTGTACTCATGCTGCAGCTTGAACAAGGAGATGATTTGAAATTTCACGTGCCCGATTAACTAGTCCCGGGTCTTTAATCTCGGTCTCCCCAGTGTCTTACAAAATGGGCAAGATGTAGAAAATTTTCCTGTTAGGGTGTAATACAAACAGCCTCTGGTCCAATTCCAAGGGGAGCTTTTCTTCCCAACTGGAGCCTATTTTTTTCTCTCATTGAGTTTATTGGTACATTTTAGGGATACAGCACAGTGACATTCATTATTGGGATCTTGTACCTTTACATAACAGGTCTTGGTTCTCATTTTTTCCCCTTGTCCCTGCCCTCCCTTCATCCCCTCCTCCCCTCCCCATTTACAAACACTTTATTTCCATTTTTTCATTTTCTCATATTCTTTTTCTTTTTCCCTTATTACCTTTCCCCTGCCCTTCCCACTTTCCCTACACCTTTAGCCCTTTTCTTCCTATTTGACATTGTCTATTATCTCATCAGGATATTATGTACTATTATAGATTTTTACACCAGAGAATCTATTCGGTATTTATAAGTGTGACTTATTTATTTCACTTAAGAGTATATCCTCAATATGTATCCATTTTCATATGAATAAATCACATTTCTCATTCTTTATGGCTGAGTAGATTCCATTTTATAGAAAAACAACATCTTCTTTATCCAGACTCCAACTGATGGGAAAATGGGCTGTTCACAAGTTTTAGCTATTACAAACTGTGCCGCTATAGACAGAGGTGTTTATATATCACTGTGACATGATTCTTTTAATTCTTTTGGAAAGATACCCAGCAGAGGGATGGCTGGGTCAAATGGAACCTCCAGTCCAAGCTCTTTGAGGTATCTCCATATTGATTTCCATAGTGTTTGCACCAGTCTGCACTCCCACCAACAGTGGAGAAGGGTTCCTTTCTCCCCACAACCCCGCCAACATTTGTTATTGTGTGATTTCTTGATAGCAGCCATTCTTTCTGGGGTGAGGTGCAATCTCAGTGTTGTTTTCATCTGCATCTCTCAAATGACCAGTGATGTGGAACATTTTTTCATATATTTACTTGCTGCTTTTACTTCTTTGTCTGAGAAATATCTGTTCATTTCAGATGCCCATTTTTTAATTGGGTCTTTATATTTGGGGAGGGGCTGGTTGTTTTGAGTTCTTTATATATTCTAGATAAGAGTCCTTTGTCGGAGGAGCAGCTGGTAAAAAATTTTTTCCACATTGTAGATTCTCTTAGCTCCGTTGATGGTTTCTTTCGCAGTGCAGAATCTTTTTAATAAGATGAGATCTCAGTTGCTGATTCTTTCTGCTAGTTCCAGTGCTATTGAGGATTTGTTCATAAAGTCTTTTCCTATGCTAATGTCTTCAAGAGTTCTGCCTAATTTATCTTCCAGCAAGTTTAGTGTTTCTTTTTTAATATTTAGCTCTTTAATCCACTTACATTTTAATTTAGTGCATGGTGAAAGACAAGGGTCTAGTTTTAATCTTTGGCAGGTTGAAACCCAGTTTTTCCAACACCATTTATTAAAGAGACTGTCTTGCCTCCAGTGAGGACGGTCAGCTCCTTTGTCAAAGATGAGGTAGCTGAGTACATCTGGAGATGTTTTTGTATCTTCTAGTCTGTTGTGCTGATCCTCAGGTCTATTCTTTGCCAGTACCATGCTGTTTTTATCACAGTGGCTTTGTAGTATAGTGTCAAATTGGGAATTGTTATACCTGCTGCCATGTCTCTGTTACCTAGGGTGGCTTTTGGTTTCAAATGAATTTTTGGATTATTTTTTCTAGTTCTGTGAAATATAGTGTTGGAATATCAAGCTGCATTGCATTAAATCTGTACATCAGTTTTGGTAGTATGGCCATTTTCACTATGTTGATTCTTCCTACCCAGGAGTAGGGGATATCTTTCCATTTTCTTCTATCCTCTTCAATCTCTTTTTTCAGAGTGCTGCAGTTTTCAGGGTAGAGGTCTTTTGCTTCTTTCTTTAGATTGATTCCTAAATACTTCATTTTTTGCATGCTATTGTGAAAGGAATTGTTTCCCTAATTTCTCTCGGCGTGAGTCTGTTATTTGTGTACAAGAAGGCTATTGATTTTGGGGTGTTGACCTTGTATCCAGCTACTCTGCCGAAAGTGTCAATTAAGTCTAGAAGTCTTTTGGTGGAATTTTTTGGGTTTTTAATATAGAGTACCATATGGTCAGCAAATAATGACAGTTTAACTTTTTCCTTTCCTATCTTTATTGCTTTAATTTCTTTCACTTGTCTAATTGCTGTGGGTAGTGTTCCCAACTGGAACCTTCTGAGCCCAGCCTTTACTGTCTGCATTCCTGTCAGCATTGTGATCTTCTGAGCTCTGCCCAGACTCTCCCATCACGCACCAGTAACAGCATGATGAAGCTTCTCTAAATAGCATCTCCAGCCTTTCCAAACACCTCCCACAAACTAGTTCCAAAGGCTTCTGAACAACATGGTCTGGTATAGTCATAGCAATGACCTCACTCTTGGTATGAACGTTTTCATTACCTACTTTATCATCTTGGGGGAAAAAATACTTGACAATTGCAGTTTTAAGGAAGAGAGGTTTATTTTTGTTCACACTTTTAGTGGACTCAATGGGCTCAATTCCTTGAAATCATGAGAGGTTTGGAGGACATTTTATATCTAAAACATAGCAGATTTAACCTTAGGCCCACCCATAGCCTCCCCTCCGACACGACACCAACTCCCAGGACACAGGGTGGCAGCCTCCCACCTGGCTGGATGGGGAGCAGGACAATAACTCAGGCTGCAGGACGGCTCTCCCTGCCTTCCACGCCTCCCTGAGGCGTGAGCTCAGGAACCCCTGGCTGTCCTGTCTTGTCCTGTGGCGGGCACCCCGCCCTGGCCTTCTCCAAGGGTCTCTCAATGGCCAGACCAGGCTGGGCACCTATGGCAGTCAGGGGAGGCAGTGTGACACAGGTGGGAGAGTACCAGGCCTGCCCAAGGGTCCTGCCCAGGGCATCTGATCTCAGGCCATGCCCTTCAGATGCCCTCACCAGAGCTTCCTTGCCAGGCACACTGGCCTCTGAGCGCTGGATGCCCGGAGCCCTCCCAGTACTGCCAAGGACCCC